GGGGGGGGGGTGCGGGGCGCCCGGGCAATCGGCAGGATGGTGCTGTGCCTTCCCCTCCCAGGGATCTTCCCATCCCCATGGTGTTCTACCATGTCCGCCCTTTCCTCTCCCACATCCGGAGGGCACCCGGGCCCATGTAACCGGCTACCCTAAAGTTCCTGATCGGACGGAGGGCGAGAAGATAATATGCACACAATGGCGTCTCTCGCTGGATTAACGGGGGCAGCCTAAACGAGGGAATAGCAGCGGCCGGGAGGACAATCATGCGCAAGACTCTTCCCAGTGGCCGAAGAGGGCGAGTCTGCCCTTGTCCTTTTGTTGGGCCACCGAAGAAAGGTACTCCCGAGGACCGCCATGGGAGGTGCGGCGCGCGGGGTGGCATGGTAATCCCTCGGGTGGCATTGGAGGACACATGTGGAAGACTGAGTCGCCCCAGGTGCGCGAATGCAGATGCTGACCCCGTGTGGAGGCCAGCGAGGGGGATGTCTGACCTGCCCTCGAGATCGCGCCAGTGTTCGCCATATGCTGGCGCATAATGGTCGATCGCGACTCCACACGTGGGTCCCTGGACAGGGTACTACCTCGTGCAACGGCAGGCGGGGAGGTGGAGGGGCAAGGCAGCGAAGGGGGCAGGAGGCCAGTGAGCCTGCAGAGGCACGGGGAACAATCGGCGCGACTCATGAAATCGATCTCAGGAGATGGGCCGGGGGCGCCTGACGAAGTCGGACCGTGCAATCCGAGAGATGTGGGCCAAATCCTGAGGGGGTGGCGGGAGGGAGGTTCGGGCGGGCTCGGTAACCTCACCGGTTACACCGCCATGCCCTGTGCGTGACAACCTGGGGAGGGGGGGGGGGGGGAGGGAGACGAGCCTCCGGCCGGCACTATGGCCAATCTTTTCCCTCCTCAACAACAACCGCCAGCATGTCTCTCTCTCTCTCTCTCTCTCTCTCTCTCTCTCTCTCTCGGCGCCTCGTCGGGTGGCGGCCCCTCCCGTGCATGCTATTTATCGTACGCTTACGCACCCGGACGTCCCACGTCGTCGCCAAACTCTTCCTATTGAATACCCCGATACCCCTCCTCTCCCCTATCTATTGTACCCGCCTGTCCCCCTGCCGCCCACACACGCCCGCCCTCCCGCCCTCCCAGAGCAACCCTTCTCCCCTGCTGACTCCCCAGCGTCAAGCCCCCCCCCCATCTACTCCCCTCCCCTTTGCGCCGAATTAAGAGCAATGCAAATTCCCACCCAGACCAAGCGGGCATCCGGCTCGGTAGCCGGAGGCAAGGGACCCAAGGATCCGACCCATGGCCGCCTCGGTGACCGACAGACCACACAGAGCATGCTCTCCGAGTCCCAGCTCGGCACCGGGCATCCCGGCGATGATGGTGCGACCAGCTCGGCTGTCCCTCCTTCTCCTCCATCCCCACCTGCTGGCCTCGCCGATGCTTGTGCCCCCC